AGGCAACAAACAAGTCAAGTAAGTAAGTAAGTAGTAAAATTAAAAAATAAATAAATGTGCATTTAAAAATGAATAAAAGCTAGAAAACAAATAAGACTCTTGGAATATTCTTGGGAAAAGTCAACTCTCCTCCAGTATGTATTATTTTCCAGTAACAGAAGACAAATTTTAATACTTTCTACACATTGTTTGCAATTTTTTTCAGTGTTTGCAACTTTTCAATATCATATTTCAGGGGTCCCCAGAATGACATCCATGAGCACCAGCGGTGAAATCCAGCAGGTTCTGGAGAACCGGTAGCATAAATTTTGAGTAGTTCGGAGAACTGGTAGCAATATCCTTCCCCCAGGAGTGGGGAGGGAATGGGGATTTTGCAGTATCCTTCCCCTGGAGTGGGGTGGGAATGGAGATTTTGCAGTATCCTTCCCCCAGGAGTGGGGAGGGAATGGAGATTTTGCAGTATCCTTCCCCTGGAGTAGGGTGGGAATGGAGATTTTGCAGTATCCTTTCCCTGCCATGCCCATCAAGCCACGCCCACCAAGCCACACCACACCCACCAAGCCACGCCCACAGAACCTGTTGTAAAAAAAATTGGATTTCACTACTGGATTATACTTTCATAAAACCTGAATGTTGTTGTCCCAGTGAGTATGGGGGTGATCAAACGGGGGAAAATTGCATGTTCTTTATAGCCTTAATGATTTAGAAAAATAAAACAAATGTTTGTTTGTCAAATATAGAGGAAGGGTTCTTTTTTCAAGCAGTGAATAATACCGATGGCTCATAGCAGTAAAATTGTCAATACCATTTTGATTGAGACAGACTTTATTTTTGTTCTGGCTTCCTATCAGGCCTTCAGCTTGCCAAGTTACAGCCTTCAGCAAATCCTGGTTTAGAACTCTCTTTTGATGTAATCCCTCCTGACCTTTACTTCTTCCCCTCTTGCAGACCAGAATGGCATTATTGGCACCTGTTTGTAAGTACATTCCACCCCTTCTTACAAAGCCAGTCTGATGCTGTAAGGGATACATTAAATGCTACAATTGCCCACAGGACTATTCTCAGTCTATAACATGTGATGTTGGGGAAAAAAAACAAAACCAGGGTGCAACTCATAAGATCAGATAGAACCAATTTGGAGTTACTCCAAATGAGATGACAATAACTTTTTACTTATAAAAAGTCCATCATTTTTCTTCAGAACATGTCAAAATTATGTGGATGCCAAAGCTCCATGGAATTTCTATTGAGAATTGTTTGAACTTATTTGAAACATATGTATCCTACCAACTAATCAAAAAGTATTTGATTGAACTTTGTCAGGAATTTAATGTAGACACATGGAATTAGTATTTCTGAATTTAGGTTTCCAATATATTCTCTATTCATGGAAGTGGGACATGAATATTGAGCTAGAGGTCACAGCTGTATATATAGAGGACATATACTTCTCTGTTGGGTACAGAATACCAAAAGGCTAATATTTATAGTAAGATTGCCCAATCAAACCAAGAGGTTTTTTTGATGCTTGCTAAGCTAAAAGGTTGGCACGCACTTGTCAGGTTTCAAGATTGTAGCTTAGAGTACTTTCTGCTATCAGAGTATTTATGACACAGCTTCAGACATGCACAGATGCACAGCTTCAGCAATTAATAGCCGCACTTGCTGGAGGAAGATCAGATTGAGGATTGCCCAAGCTGAATATACATAAAATAGTTTTCTCTTAGTTCCCTGAACTTACCAGTATTAGAAGACTCCGAAGTAGAATTTGTTTGGTTGGCTTCATTTGCTTCCAGGGCAAAGTATCTACTCTTCATGGCTACTAGAAAACAGGCATTTCCTTACCACCAATTAGCCTCAGTTGATTCCCCTTGCAACCTCATAGCACCATTATCCCTTTTGCCAAAAAATTAATGTAATAATTTTCCCCAACTGGTGCCTTTCACCTGCAGTTTCCAATATTCCTACATGTCTAGGAATTCTGGATTTTTCAGTTCAACACATGTGGAGAACATCCAGCTGTCAAGGCTGACATAGAATTCTTGCTAATCCACTGGATTGGGGAGAACCAATTAATCAATCAATTACTGATAACAAGGATTTGGTAATAGCCATATTAAAATGAGGCTTTAAAACAAAGATCTGTATCATGTGAATTTGGATATGGTCCTACTACTTCATGTCTTCAGGAAAAAATGTTATATTATTACTGTACTATTATTTTTATTGTTACTGTAAACCCTTCTATAAAAAAATGAATTTTCCCCCGGAGTTTCCCAATCGTCAAGAGATTGAGTATCAAAATCCTCAATTTATAATCATAGGCCCACTTTCCGGGAACCTTCCTCATGTGGTACAGTATCTTCTTTGGTAGAATCTGGAGTATACTTAAATTCATAGGCTGATCTAATTTTTGCATCGCTTTCTCTTAAAGGAAGGCCTTGAATGCTTTTAGAAAGCTCAATATAGGTCAAACTTTGTGGTTTAAAACCTATTCCATTGTGATCCACTTTATGTACTTTAATAGATTTCTCCCCATCAGCATCAGTAAGCTAAGTGCTATTACAGAGCCAACCTTTTGCTTTCATTTTCTTGTAACTTGCAGTTAAATGGAGTTTACTCCTTTGGAAAACTATAGATTATTTATAGTCACTAAAGAAGAGGCACAAATGCTGGCTTGCTACTGTGGTTGCTTTTAAAGGCTTTTTATTGATTAATGGTTTGCTCAATTCTTCCTGCTACGCCCTGAACACTAAATCAAATGTTGTTCTAGTTTCTCAGAGGTGTTTGTTTTGGTAGACCATATTGAAGGCAGGAATCAGGTACTGTACCTGTAAACTAGAAGGAATAGGACAAAAATCTACAACACACGTGCAAATAAGACTACAGATTGTTCTAAATCCGCCTGCCCTCACAAATCTCCATCTTTTATTTTGGTGCATTGATTTTTTGAAAAAAAAAATCTGCCAGTTTCAAAAGTTTTCTTCCTCTCTTCGTTGCCTACAGCTGAATTGATACCATAAGTGAGAGGTTAAGAGATTATTCACAAGCCTGGGCAAGAATACTTGACTTAAATGGGTGTAACAAATATGAGCACATTTTTACAGTGTTTTGACCGCTGCACGATACTTGCTTCCTGTCCATTTCTGACCCAACTAAGAATACTGATACTGAAGCATTAGGCCTGATTTAAAGAACTATGCTTTAGAGCAATCTTCTCAAGCCATTCTGTAGTTCTCCTTGGTTTACATGTGATAGAAGAGTTCATAGAGGATTTCTTTTGTGTAAGACATGCCCACTTTGCAAATGATTTGGAAGAAGTTTTTGTATAAGCAAAGCACCTCTGCATTTCAGACTTCAGCAAGTGAGAGGAAGTAGTTACTTTGAACCAGTCCCTGGTGCCCAAAAGGTTGGGGGCTACTGGGCTAGGGACTTAATCCAGCAAAGCAATTTTATGTTTTTAGGTAACAAAGATCATGGAATAGTATTGACCAATCAGATGAATATGGGCATTGTAATCAGTGCTGTAAAATAAATGTAGAGTAAAATAATGAATTTGTAACAACAGCTCCTCCAGCTTCACTGCTGCAGCACTGCAAACTACCAACAACCAATTGCAGCTCTGGTCTCAATTCCTGAAAATTTAACAATTAGCTCCTCCTGTGAGTGGATATGAGCAGGCTCCAGCGTACTACTGAATGCAATCCAGCAGCAACTAAAAAGGAAAATCCAGTCTAGGCACTATATTCACAAAAGCATTACTTCCAGATTGCAGGAGGTATTAATTCCATTACGTATTTCACTGATTAGACAGTAGGAATACTCTACCCAGTTTGGGGAATTGCAATTTAAAAGAGAAATGGAGAAATTGGAACAGATTCAGAGAACTATCATGAGTAAGAGGACTGGAAGTTACTTTCCATTGAGAAACAGTTAAAGCTGGACACATTTTGCTTGCAGATGAAGACTAAGGGGAGTTATAACCATAATGTATACATGTATATATATTATTATCCTACCTAAGATAGCAATAGCACTTCTATATCGCTTTACAGTGCTTTACAGCCCTCTCTAAGTGGTTTACAGAGTCAGCCTATTGCCCCCAACAATCTGGGTCCTCATTTTACCCACCTCGGAAAGACGGAATATATATTACCCCACCTTAGATGAAATGGGACAGCTGAGATCAAGTTAAAATTTAAAAGATCAACCTGAGTTTAAAGAGGCATAAGCTGTAAAGTAATTAAACAGATTGGCTAGAACAATGATATATCCACTAGGTATCTGGAGGCTTTCAAAGAGAAGTCTGATAGCCTTTTGTCAGGAATGATTTAGTCAATCCCAGCCAATGAAGAGACTGGACTAAATCACCCACGAGGTTCTGCACAACCGTTCCATTCTGTAAAAAACCCCCAAACCCCTTCATGTTTGATACACAGAGAAGAAATACGGGTAGTTATGGGAGATTTGTATGAGATTTTACTTGTCACTCAACTTAAATGATAATGGCAGCTTTCAATCTGTGATCCAGACTAGAGTGCTCCATGATTTCTTAAAAAGAGATTTTTTAATTTTTAAAAAATGCTGGAAATTTTTCCTGTCAGATTGCTTTGTATTACATTAGTACTTTGTATATTTCTCAGAGAAAATGAATTGTTTTTCAAACTTACAAGATCTTTGATTTCTTTGTTGAAGTTGCCTGGTTTTAGATATGTATAGATTGGAACTCAGGAGAATATGTCAGAGTTTTGTAGTAGATAACTGCTGTGAGAAATGTTTCTATAAGAACAGTTAAAAATGCTGCAATAAATAATCTAATAATTTGATACCCACCAGATTATACTATTGTTCTTCTGCAGTGGACAAATAAAAACAGTTTTGGTGAACAATTTCTCTTGCTCATTTTTCTCAGAAGAAACTGCTGTATAAGAGTTGATTTCGCAAAGAGCTTGTTTGAGAAAGTAAATGTTCTGGTTTACCATGGAAAATAGTAACACAAGCCCTTTATAAATATAAAGTTTATTCAGTATATATTGTTTAGAAAAATAAGTTCACATTTCAGAATACAAACAAACAAAAACACAATTTTCCAGGCACAAACCTCTACATCAATGTTTCTCAACTGTGACAACTTGAAGATATGTGTTCTTCAATGCTTAGCCACATCTTAAAAGTTGCAAAGGTTGAGACACACTGCTCTATTCAGTACAACATACATACATATTTTCCAATCTCTTTGGTTTGGGAGCAAAGCACAACAATCTCTCCAGAAATGCAATGCATCCTTCTTTAACAGTGCAGCAACATGTTTGCCTCCTAACATCTACATTCCATGTAATTTTCTTCTTTTGTCATAAGGCACAATCAAAACCATATTGATTTACCAAAATAAGTTTTGTTCTAGGTGTAAAATTGTGGGCAACAAATGGACACGGTCCAAGCTGATTGAAATATTCACATGCTTTTCTTTCTTCATTAAGTTGAGAAGTATAAAATTAAGTTATTAAAATATTACAAGAAATTTAGAAAACATGTCAATCTATCCTTTTAAGATATGACTGCTGAGTGATGAACTGCAGAAGCAGCTTAGGCATAGTTCAAAACCTTCACTACCTCTAGTAACATGCATTCCCCTGATAACAGGAAAGAAAGACTGCTTTATTCCTCCCACGAACAGATTCTTGCTTACTTGTATTTAGTTGGACAATAGCCATTTACTGAAGGCTGGTTACTATGAGATATACGTAATGATCAAAGGATAACTTAACATTCTTCACTAGCAAACCACACTAAACTGAAGGGAGCTGTGTAGGATTCCATAGGCTTCACACTGGGCCCACAACTGTTCAATACTTTTATGAATGACTTGGATGATGAGATGGTGGTGCTTGTTAAATTTGTAGATGACACAACAGTAGGTTGTAGAAAAAAGCTAACATCCTCCAAAAAAAACCCTAAATTTCAAAATAATCTGAAGAAGTTAGAGAAATGGGCTGAAAACAAAGAATGAAATGTAACAGAAGCAAAGACAAAGCAGAATTCAAATGTCTAGTATTGGCAATATTATTTGTGGGGAAAAAACCATGGAATTACAATTAATAAGAAACACTATGAGACAATTGTCTGATATTACTGCAAAGAAGACAAAAGGCCCTTGTAGGCTGAATCAAAAGAAGAAAGTTTCCAAATTAAGAACTGACAGTTTTTCTTTATTTTGCATTGGTCAAGCTACATCTTGAATAATGTTCTCCAGTTCTGGGCACCACACTTTATAAAGGATTTAGATAAACTGGAACAGATTTAGAGAAAGGCACTAAGGAAGATCAGGGAAGGAGCAATTTACTGAACATATTAAACTTGCATTCCGTTTTCATAGTAGGAAAAATGTTGATTCCCATTATCAAGGAAGGATTAGTTAAAGCAGAAGTTGAATAGACATTAGGGATATTTTAATCTAGGTCTCTGTACTAAACATAGGATTGGAATTGATGACCCAAATGGCTCCTTCCAACTCTATTGTTGCAGAATTCTAAAATTTTTCAATTTTTCTTTTTCATTTGGGCAAAATATAACACAGAAAATAAATTACATAATAAAGTAACTCAACTATTTTTGCTGTCAATACAAGCCTGACAAAATGTTGTGACTATTTAGGTGTCCCAGTAAGTTTTCACTCCTTAAAAAGTGTCATCTTTTATTCAGCCTTACTTGGAAGGCTGGAAAAGAAGACTGCTTTAATGAATAGCCGAGATCCACTATTCTCATGTGAGTTGTGAAACACTTCTTCCAAGTAATTTTGGGGGGTGGGTCCGCAAATGTTTGAAGAAATGTTATGATTTAAACCAGGTCTTGGGGGTTCTGTGGCCAGAAAAGGTATTTAAAGGGGGTCCACAGTGACGAAAAGGTTGGGAGCCACTGGTTTAGATGAGGGGATGTTCACTTTTGGATACATAATTGTTACAACAGAAATCCAGCCATAACTATAAAAAGCAGTCAAAATGATTTAGTGTTTAGCCTGGAACAAAGTAGGGTGCATGGCTGAAACCAAGACATTTATCATTTACCACACAGCCTTTTTGCATAGCCGTCATGATCACCTCCAAACTATCACAAACCGTTTCATAGAGCCCTGTGATTTTTCTCAGTTGAACAGCTCTTGTATCCCCTTCAGCTAAGTAACTGGGGAATGCAGAAACATATGCCTTGATTAGTTTCCTAACTTCACAAGTATGTATTCATAAGTTGGTTTTTTAAAGTGACCACTTACCATGACAAGTGAGAGCACAGTTGTTCCCCCCTCATGTTACAGAGTCAGCGAAACAATGCTGTGGCCTGATATCTTTTTAACCTCAGGTGGGAAAGGAAGAGACCTGGGCCAAGGCAAGTATATTTGCAGTGCCACTGCTGAACCAGAAGTTCTTCAGCCCAACAGTGTTGACAGCAGCACGCGACCATGTAGGTGGGTACCCTGTTTCCCCCAAAATAAGACATCCCCTGATAATAAGCCCAATCAGGCTTTTGAGTGCATGGCAATCAGGCCAAGTGCTTATTTCAGGGTTCGAAAAAAAATATAAGACAGGGTCTTATTTTCGGGGAAACACGGTAGATGTGCCACATTTTGGAGAGGACCTTAGTCGTCTTGAAACTGGATCCTCTGTTTTTTTCAAGACAATTATTTCAAGTTGGGAATTCTAAACCTGGTTTTTTTTTTTATTATCATAGTTTCTAGGATGCATTCGTGGCAATTGGAAAGTGCATACAGATTTCTGAGATGAAATATCCATCTTGTGGGCATTTTCCCCAACACATACACACCTTTTGCACAGTGAAGGGGCCTGCTACCCAATACATTTTCCCACTTGAAAAATGGTTGTGGGAATAAGCAATTCATAAGTTTGATTTTCCTTTAAATAGATTCCTTTACATCTTGGGAAGCTGTACCGATTTCTGAGTAGGAAGCGCTGCTAAAGTGGAAAGGATAATCTTTATGAATTACAGGCATATGACTTCCACGATTCTTCTAAGCAGTTTTCTATATTGCTGGAGAAATAATGTTAATCTCTTTAAAATAAACTTACAGTACAATACAGTACCAACCCGGACAACAACTTTGATACTGTTCTTACAAGTTTACTAAAATTACAAAATTGCATTAATTTAGATCACATACAGAAGGACAACTTACTCCTCTCAGAACAGATGATCAATTAACTACTTGGCTCAGCCTCTCTCTGGTAGTAGGAATACTACTGATTGGAGTAATTATATCTACTATAACCCCTCCCCCATTTCTGCAGCTATTCTCTCAAATGAAAGAAGCCAGAGATGCTTTTCTCCAGAGTCAGGACAATCTTGGGTGCAACCACTTAACCTACCATTTTATTCATTTAAGATGGACCTCTACGTCTCAGCAACTTAAACAGAGCACTTACATGTGCAGCAGAATCTCGTGATACAGCTTCTTGTAGATTGCACCATTTTGTGTTTGAAAACAGGCTACTGATAGGAAAGCAATTCCTCCGCCAAATCAAAAACTAGCTGTGAAATTTATTTTTTTCTATGTGCAGGAAAAGCAATAAGCACAAGAGATCCAAGTATGATGTCTGTATTGAACACCTCAAGAAGACTACATTATGGGTTCTCATTCATACATCAAAAGCTTCCTTCCACTATATGCACATTCTATCAGCCTTTGGTAAGATTTTTCAATGGATGGGAATTGCCCTAACTGGTAATCCAGGCAGACGGATAAAAGCTAGTAAGGCAATCTTTTCCATCTCATTAAATCAAACAAGAGGGAAGAAGGATCTTGGCTTAAAACAAATAGCCTTCAGGTTCTTGCTATATGGTGGATTTGGAAAAGACCTGTTTTTCCTAAGTACACAGTTGTTTACGAATAATGTTCCAAATATGTGTTTCCCCCTCCCCTTTAATGATCTAATAACAATTGCAGTACAGGCAGCAACTGCTGACATGTTCTATTTCTGCAGAGGTTCTTGAGATAACCTTACCAGATCATTCTTCCTCATCTTTGGTATATTGCAAAAAGAGACAAGTTAGAAATAAGATTGGGAGAATGATTTTGTGTATGATCACAATAGCAAAAAGCACTCTATTAGAGGAGATTCCTACATTCAGTTGTATCACTGATGTTTACCTAAATCGTAGACCTGTAAGCACATTCTGACATGCAGAAAGGCTGAATGAATGACGGCATGAGCTCTCTTTGCCAAACAATTGCAATTCAACAAGTTGGGGATGGAATATGGAGGAAGAAGGGAAAATATTTTGAATATTTATAAGCAACATACCATTTGTCAGAGGAATCCTGTATTTATTTCACATCTACTACCGTTTCCCCCAAAATAAGACATCCCCTGATAATAAGCCCAACCGGGCTTTTGAGCGCATGGCAATAAGGCCAAGTGCTTATTTCAGGGTTCAAAAAAATATAAGACAGGCTCTTATTTTCAGGGAAACACGGCATTATGGAAATCTCTCATCCTTTATTTATCAGAGCAATGGCATTTTCAAAGGGAACTTGCATATGTAAGGGAATTAGGACCACTGTTTTGATTGCTGCCAGACAGACTTCTCTTTTCCTATGTTGACGAATCATAGAATATATTTGGTGGAAGGGACTTTCTGGATCATCTACAGTCCAACCCTCCCTTCAGTACAGGATTCAATTAAATCATCCTTGGAGGATAACCAACCTGTTTGAAAACCTCCAGCAAAGAGGAATTTACCACTGTTCTAGGCAGATTCTTTCACTGCTTAACAGCTGTGCTGGTTAGAACAAGGATTTAAGGCCACTAAGAAGAAAGGCACATAGGATTTAAAAAATAAACCAACCAGCAGCCATCCTCAAACCTTTTAAAATTATCTAAAACTAAAACAGAAGTAACACTTTCACAAGTGTTTCCCCAAAGCCTATAACTGCATTTGTTCATAGTCAAATATAAGACTAGTCCAAATTGTTACCAAAAAAAGAGAAAGAAAATCAATTAAAGCTTTATAGGGGAAAGAAATCTTTAAAAATAGGCAGAAATAATTTCCTGTTCAAAAATACAGAAAGAAAAAATAAATTAAACTGCTCATCGTATCTCAAAATGATAAAATGGACACCAATGATTATAAATAGAATCATCCTACTAATAAAAACAATTCTCATTAGCACAATTAAAATAATATTTACATATTATTGGCAGAGCCAAGGATTCTGGGTTGCATAATTTCAAGTGGCAAAATGTTTTCTTCCCCTCCTCTACTGATTCAAACAAGACAAAGAAAACTTGCACCATTTCCAAAACTATAAAAAAATTGAGAGTGCAGAGAGTGATATTCTGGTGGAAAACTTTTAACAACAAATACACACACATACGCACACACCAAAGAGAGTATTTGCAATTGTGCTCGCAAAAGAAAGTAACAGTAGCTTATGAGGTATTACCTAAGTACTCCTTTAAAATTGAAAACTGAAATACCACTTTCTCAATGCCCACCATCTATAAGTAAAATTGAATCTAGACAAAAAAAAAACAAAAAAAAAACCCAGTATGTCTTTTCTCTTTTAGTTCCAGTCTTTTTAAAAAGATAATCTTGTTCCTAACCAATAGCTATCGGTTAATAAACATTCTGAAATTACCTTGATTCTCTCCCTGTCCAAAGAAGCTACTTGGATAAGCCAAGCCATCTCATATTTGACTGGCATTTCCCTTCCAGCCATGTATGATTCCTTTTGATCAGGCTTAACAAAAGTGAGCATTCATGCAAACATTTGCATGGCAACTTTGTATTCTTAGTGAAGACCTAGATTCTTCTTCAACTGTGCATTTTTTTAATTTTTCTATATGCCTATGGGGGGGGAACCCCCCACTGCTGTGCTTCTAGTCTTCAAAGGAAGATATTTTTCTACTGAAATGCAAATACAAGATTATTAATCTTAAATTGTTGGGTTTTTTTTTTTTACAAGTCTTGCATATCTTCTTCCATCTGTACTGTCTGGAGTTTAGCCAGCTGTTTCTTGTCTGTCCCCAGTTCTTCACAGATGGTATTGACTATATTGCTAGTAACATATTTGGTTTTGGAATCCAGCATCACCGAACTGCTTCCTGATCTGCTTTCTGAATCAGTTAGAAAGTTTTCCTTTAGAGTGGGAATGGACTGCAGGATCAGCCGCTGTTCTCGAGTGAAATGGGGATGTCCTTGCAAAGAGGGGTGGGATCCAATGTCATTGCTTGCTACCCCACCGATCCCTGTTAGCGCCGGCTGCACTGGAGAAATGGACACCAGGTCGTGGCTGTTGATGAGGGAGCAGTTCTGAAGTGTTGCATAGTTTGCATTACTAATGGAAACAACAGTCGGCCCACTTGTCGTGGGGGGTTGCATTGGTGGGCTCTCAGAAATGGCTGAGTTGAGTTCTTCTGCAGTTAAAAGGGAAGGTGGTCCAAGGGAAAAGTTATGCGATATAGTCACGTTAACTAAGGAGGAGGCTCCTCCTGGCTGGAGGACCCCATTGGGTAAGTTGTCTGAAGGTAGATGAGCATGAAGTTGGGCATTTTGACCAAGGGGCATGACTGGAGAAAACACCAGGCTCGTTTCCAGTCCTTCCTGTTTCACCGGCTCAACTGCCTGGGTGGTGTTCGGGATGGTGTACACCACAGTGCTGGGAGCAAGGGAGCTGAAAAACACTTTCCCTTGTTGTGCTATCGTAGAGTCAGTAGTAAATGTGCCATTGCTTGATGTGCCTTGGTTAATGGAAAGACTACCTGTGATGGGAAAGGAACAGACAAATAAAAACAAGAGAAAAATTTAAATGCACAGTATAAAATTAAATTAAGAGTTAAATTTTCATCTTCCCCTGTGGTTTTAAAACACAACTTCCATCCAATAATCTCTACTTAAAAAGGGGGAGATGTTGCTATTATAACATTCTAAGACTCAAGTGGTTTTCGTTTTGAGGAGTGACCCATCCACTGGCTATTTTAATATTTATTGGTTGACCATATTTTATGGACATTGTTGCTACTGATGTTTCATTTTTTATTATATGCCACCATGATTCCATATGGATTTGTCGGCATATACATTTAATAAACAAGCATGTGTTATCCTTGAAACTACATAAAATGTAAAGATCAACAGATAGCTTTCTCACCATATCAAAAGCATTGTTTTCCTTTATGGTAGTTTGAGCCTAAAGCAGTGAATAATGGAATTGTGATACTTAATTCAATTTCAGAAATTTGTTTTCTTACCCTTTGATGTGTCTTTTAAATTATGAAAAATATCCAGTATTTATACACACACAGTATCATTGGGATTGTGTGAGCTGCAGTCAAATTAGCCTTGACAAGACACCAGAATGCAAATTCCATTCTAATGAAGGAATACTAAAAATACTAAAAAAGCTAAAATCTTAATCAATTAATGAAACTGATCATTTATTCTTCCATGAGATGAAGATGAGTTGTGAACACTGGATATATGGAACTATTGGTTTCTTGTAATATTCAATTCAATTATATTCAATATTATATTGATTTATAAAATGGTGATGCGAAGGACAATATAATCCCCTGAAAGTTATTTAATTATAGCAGCTCTGAAATCAAGGAGTAGAGTTGTTCCATATCATAAAAAATATGAGAAAAGTTGTAGAATTAAAATAAGTTGATTTGTTTTCCAAATTCTACTGGAATGAAAGTTGCCTTTCCTACATTCCTACCTCCAGCTGTCTTACATTTCTCTACCTGGAATAGACAGGGATTAATGGAGCTCAACATATCTATAGTAGGTAACAAGTTCTCCATTATTACAACAGAGGCAAAGGTCAAATAGTCAATTATCATTGCTTGCTACGAATTGTGGTAGCTGAAGTTCACACACATCAAGGTTTAAGAAATGCTGATCTAGGTAATATAATCTACTCCAAGTAGCAAAAAGTCTTCAAACTTTCAAGCAAAAAAGCTCTTCCCATGATTTCCTCATGATTCTTTTAGCTGAAGAGGCCAGAGGACCTTTTGCATATAAAACATGGGTCCTACTGCTGAACTATCAGCATTTTTAGAAGCTGACCTTTGGATTTCCTATATATAATCTAGGACAGTGATGACGAATCTTTTCGGCACTGTGTGCCCAAACCGGAATGTGCATGCATGCGTGTGCATGTGCGTGTGCCGGAGCTCCGGAAACATGAAGACCAATTGGTCTTCGGTTTTCTGGCACGTACAGGAGCGCCAGCCAGCTGGTCTTCGTGTGCGCCAGAGCACTGTTGTTTAATAAACAACACCTGCCTATCCCATCTTGGGAAGGACAAAAATGCCACATCTAGTCCAAATATGCAGCTAACTTTGCAACCAACCATGTAGTTCCTGATCAATGAACATATAGTCCATTGATCTAGTGGCGATTCTAATGTTCAAAATGCAAATTGATCGCATAAAAAGTCAACCACACTTTTCTTGCAGCCCTTTGTCTATTTGTGCAAAATTATTACCCCCAGCAATTATGAGAGTTGGTTGGAACCGTAATTCAATTCTAACTAATTCTCATAATTGCTGGGGGCAATAATTCAGTGTCTCTGGAAGGCCACAAGGTACAAATCCTGCCTTGAGCAGGGGGTTGGACCAGAAGACCACCGAGTTCCTTTCCAGCCCTATAATTCTATGTTCTATAAACACAGAGATTATGAGCTAAACTGTTTTTTCTGAATACCTTCAGGATATTTTTTTACAAATTACAATGGTGAAGTAGGAACTATTTAGTCATGTTTTCAAGATCTAGCAGCATATGGGAAAATGTATTTCCATCCAGTTTGACCTTGGCCAAAAGTATCGGAGCTTAAAATCACAGCTAATGCATGGAATAAAGTCATGAATCTTCACCTTAAACACTGCTCTCATGGTATATTAAAAAGATAGAGTTGACAGAGGTGTATGGCTTGCTTCACTAACATGGGATAGGACAGTAAACACTGCCCATATTGGATACTTGGTGCACAGCTCATGTATAGCCATGATATATAAAGGGAGAAGATAAATATGAACGTATGCAAATCTCAGTGAAGTTTCAGAAAACAGAGAGGTTGGTGAGATTTACAAGAGATAGTACTGGAATTAATAGTACATAGTTTACCTTTCTCCATGATTATCAAACAGAGGATTATGTAAAGCAGTGAATAAATGCAAATGTTCACTGCCTATGCATGAGTGTGCTTCAGCTGTTCATAGGAAATGTTAGAGCTTAAAAGTTGTCTCTAGGGATAAAACCTTTGTGTGTGTGTGTGTGTGTGTGTGTGTGTGTGTGTGTGTGTGCGCGCGCGCTTTGAGTCAGCATTAATTCCTGGTGACTTCCTTGACTGGCTGTCATTTAAGATATTATATATGAATGATACGTAAGTGAAACTCAGGAAAATTGAGCCAATGTCAACTAGGGCAGTGGCCCCCAACCTTTTGAGCACCAGGAATCTGTTCCATGGAGAAAGGTTTTTCCATGGACCTGGGGAACGATGACGTGGTTTTGCATGTTTCCTGCATCCTATGGATGGGGCTTTGATTGTTTGGGTGCAATTGCTGGGATGCCACGGCCCGGTGCCAGTCCACAGACTGGGGGTTGGGGACCCCTGAACTAGGGATCTCAGTATAATGATTAGACTGTAATCTGTGGTAGTGCAGTGGTTAGAATGCAGTAGTGCAGGCTAATTCACTGCTCATGCCAGGAGTTCGATTCTAAACGGCTCAAGGTTGACTCAGCCTTCCATCCTTCTGAGTTCAGTAAAATGAGGACCCAGATTGTTGGGGGCAATATGCTGACTCTGTAAACCACTTAGAGAGGGCTGTAAAGCACCGTAAAGCAGTATGTGCTATTGTTATTGCTATTTTATACTCACCTAAAAGCAAGATTACTGAAAAATAATGAAACTTTACCGAATAGAATTCTATAGTAATAGCAAATTGGTGTGTTATCCAGACCATCCTGGCTAAAATCTCATCTGCAAAGGACTAAAGTGAAATCTATTATTGGTATTGCTCCTAGCAGTTATGGTCTATATCTAGTATGTCTTTGTTACCTTCTTGGCAACATTACAGAAGTGTCAGTGATTCCTTTCTTTCAGGATATTTTTTTTCAATTTCCCAATCTAATTTTCATTTGATAATCTCCTATCCTAGTACTAATGAGCTCTGATCCTGTCCAGCTCTTTTGTGATCAAATATGGGCATGCAAAGGAAGTATTATTATACTGCCTCACCATGCATAATTGTAGGGATTATGTGTGATAACTCTGTAAATTAATCTGCTTTACATTTGAATGTATCCTTATCAAATTCACACTTCTCAAATGTGAATATACAGTATGTCCTAGATTGAATCTGTCAGTACTTACACATTTCAAATGTGTAAGATGCAGTTTTCCAATTATTAAAAAAAATAAAAATGTTAGTGCATACTAAATATATGAACAGAAAAACTGGTGGAAGCGACATTTAACAAATAATATACAGTAAAACCTCAACTTAATGGAGGTTTGTAGGAGGAAGAGAATTATGTTAAACTCATATCATTTGCATGAATTAATGTCCTGGATAATAATGATTTGTGTAATATGAATTAATGCAAATGACATGAGAGGAATCATTCAAACTACTTTGAATACAATGGGCTTTGTTATTTTGATAAGACATCAAAATAGAAACTACACCCAGTGTAAAAATGAAATCTGTTAAACCAAAGATTTACTCTCTTGGACAGTATTTTCTGCCACACCCAAGAGCAGCCGGCTAAGTAGGGCTGAACGTTAATCTATATGGCTGCCTCTACTCAAAGACAAAGCTAGTCCTACGGCCAAAACAAGCAAAAGAAAAAAAAAATAGTGTAGATCGTAAGATGCTGCTGATATGGGAAAAAAATTGAATTTTCATTGATTCTCCATCAGTATCCATCTAAAAACCTGTTTTGCTGGATTTGGGTGTTTTCCCATCAGTACCAGTCTCCACCAGATCAAAATGTCTTCTGTTCATGGAAACAGTTCATTGTACACAAAGGAGCCACCTTAGGGTTTAAGACATTACATATCTCCAACATTCTTAATTTCACAACAAAAAAGCAATAATTTAATATAGTGAAGGTTTTTTACCTCGGGAAGTTGCTGCTGATACTGGAGGCAGCTGCATTGGAGAAAAACTGAGGCCTCCATTAAGTAACTGGCCACTGTTTGCTGAATTAGGGATTTGGACAACGCCATATTGGTTGATTTGGATTGGAGTGGTAAAAGTGACAACTGAGCCACTGTCTTGTGATGCTATTGCTTCTTCACTTTCTTCCCTCTTTACTTCCATGCTTGGTGTCAAGCCTGGGAAAGAGGCAGGCCCAGAATTGGGACTGTATGTTGTTGTGGGTGTTGATGGTGCAATGGAATTGGACAGAGAAGTCTGGAGGATTTTGAAGTCTTTCACATCTTCTGAGGAAGGGACTAACATGTCACCCATGGAGACTCCATTGCTCAAAGCATTGGGTGATGTTTTGAGTGGACTTGATGATACCGCCTGAGAAGATCCCACACTGAGACCATTGAGGAGGAGACCATTGGGGCCCTGAATGAAAGAAGTACCATTAAGAAAAACAGATGGATTGGGAGGCATAAGGTTTCCATTCAGCAAAACTCCTGAAGAGCTTAAGGATATTTTGGAGTTTCCAAGTTGCTGCATATATACTTGCTCCATTGGGCTAGGAAGGCTTAAGCTGGTGCCGCCATCAGAGGTGCTTGCAAGGGAACGTGGAGACAAGTCCTCTTGCCCCTTACTGGATTCATCTTCTGTGCTGGGATTACCATCCGACTCACTACAAATCAAGAGAGAAGCAACAGTGAATTGATGCTGTATTTTTCATTGAATCTTTGAATCATTGAAAAGAATCTCACTGAATTCTTTTCTCATGGATGGGAGAAACAATTATCCTACCCACAGAAAATTAACACATCAAGGAAAAAGCACTAGATTAATCTCTATGAGGATTCAAGTTTTCCATATATAAGCTGCTTATGAGAGGAAAAAAAAACTAAATAAAAATTTCTCAATCATGGTACTGCCGTCCTATGTATTTCTACGGCAAAGAAAAACACTCCCAAGTTGTTTGATTATTAGTGACCAAATGAAAATATCCATGTAGGTTTTCTTAGCAATAACATAGAAATGCTTTCTGCCAGCATGTTTTGTTACTTCCCAGTCTAGCCTACAATGCTGATGCTTCCTGATGATATTAAGCAGGTGTGAGCCTCTTTAGCTTCCAAGCCCAGGCAACATCAATCAGCTACTGCCACTTGGTGAGATATGCCAGCCTACTCAGAAATAAACAAACAAACAAAGGAGCAAGCAAGCATTACTTCCATGTTCCTGCTCCCAGAATTGCAGCTTTATAGTGGAATTCTATACAGTAAGTATATTATACAGAGGTTGCTGTATACAAAGTGACTTACTCTGTTTAGAATGTTTAGATGCCAAATCTGACATGATTCTTTAAATCTACTCTACCCAACATTCCTAAAAATTCCAAGTATCCTACCAGATCACAAATGCTGGAGCTCTTATTCTAGATCAGGGGTATCAAACTCGATTTAATTGAGGGCCATATCAGGGTTGTGTTTGACCTCGGGGGGGGGGGCTGGGATGGCCACGGGGGTGTCTGTGGTGGGCCAAGTGCTCTGCCAGTGAAAACAGGCTTCCGAACTCCGTTTTCGGCTATGACGGTGCCCTGCAATCCTCTGCCAGTGAAAAGGACCTCGGGCGGGCCACCCTCTGCCCTCCTGAGCTCTGTTTTCACTGGCAGAGGCATCGCAGGCTGGTCCTTTGCTGTTTCTAGGGCAGCCCTGTGGGCCAGATTTAAGCACCCACAGGCCAGTTTGACACCCCTGTTCTAGATTATATGTTTCAGAAAAGCAAAATGTAACTTGGATGACAAGTTTTGTTTTAAAACAGAAAGAAAGTAAAAGATTGGAAAGAGCTTCAAAAGAAATTCCAATGTAGATGATCAAAATAGCAAATTGTACTTTACTGGGGGAGCAGATATCAAAATGGCACAGGCACAAACAATCATGTAAAATTATTGTCACAGCAGTCACCAATCTTACATGTTCTTATTCACTAATGTATGAGTGAGGGATTGACCAGGAAACATCTCTTGGTGTTGTGATGAAAAGCCCAATGAATATATTGGCCATTACCACGGAAAAAGCAAATGTCATGTTAGTCTTTTAGCATACCTTCTTGGTAATGTCATTGGCCTCCTTCCTGAGATTCTCATCACCCCCCCCCAACCTTTTTAAAGCCATGGAAATATTATTTTTTTCTTCATATAAACTCATAGACTTATCACACTTGCCTTGCTTTTTATAAACTTATATGATGGCCATTTGCAGCATGTCATGTAATCGGTGCTATAGAACAAAATATATTATAGAAAGACAACTTGTGATTGACTATCAGAAAAAATATGCTACAGTTAGAAGCAGTTATATAGCTGAACCGATTCCCCACCAAAGGAATGGTGCCCAGCCTTTCAAGGACAGAAGCTAGACAGCCCATTTGTCAGAGATGCTCAGATTCTTGAACCAAGTGGGTAGTTGGATTTGATAGTGTAAATGGTCCCTCCCCACACTAACACAGTCACCAATTTAGGTGGATTTAAAAGATGATGAAATAAAAAGTGTCATCCTTTTTATTCATATGAAAATTCAGTTAATCAATCCATGAATTGGCTAAAATCCATACAACTGGTCAAATAAGATTCCTTTAAACTGAGTAAAGCTTTACTCTGGACACATTAAAGCAACAAGGTTCCTCCCACATGCTTTAGTATAAAACATTTCAATTAAAATAGTGCAGAATCTGTGCAAGCACTTCTTCAGGTATTATATTCAAATTATATTAATTTCAGAAACTAGGTCCTATTTTCAGGACAATATATTTAACGCAAACCTAATGAAATATATACTAGAAAACCAATTTACCTAAACAGATAAACAGAATGACAATGGGTGGGCAAAAAAGCAGTGAGAACAAAAGTGATTTCCAGCTGGCTTTCCCATTGATCTTGTTTATGGGAAGCTGGCAGAGAGTGTTGGAAATCACAATCACCTGACATGGCTGACTACAATAACACTGTAGCAGCCACAACTTTGCAAATAGTGTGAATATCTTTGAAATTTCAATACATATTTATTTATTTATTAAATTTCTGTGTTACCCATCTCACCTAGAGGTGACTCTAGTTGGCTTACAACCAAATAAAAACAAATGGTTATCTGGACCAAAAGGGAATTCTCAAGGAATATTTGCATATAAAATAATGCTATAATGCTTCAAAGGACAGAACATGATTTTGGAATACAAGCATGCTTGATATTTTAAAATGCCATTTATACTTCTAGTTCCAAAAGTTTACACTGAAATGCATATGAGGATTCCTATTTTTATAAGGCTATTAAAACAGGTTTTTATGTTGTTTGATTAGCCAGCCAAATTTAAGTACTTTGCAAGTTCCACTGATTTAAGGACATACATAACTCTCTGAGGTTCATAAAAACCTGAAAGCACTTAACTTTGACTGGATTATATCCAAACTATTTAGATAATAGGTGCATTTAAAAGAAAGACTGTCTTCATAATCAGCTTCAGACATTAGACATGGGCCACTTGCTTGTATGTACATAGGAAAGAAAGAGCTGCAAAGATTAACATTCTTAATGTGTTTCTACAGCATCTTCCTCAAAGACAAAGCATCGTATTACTCCTTCAACAGTGTTGAAAGGTTTCTAATTACTGCAGTGTGCAGCTTTTTACATTAGACAATTTTCATGAAGGAATAAGCTGACATTTTCCCTCACTAAAAAAAAAAAACTTGACAAAATGTATGTTGCAATTATCTTTATGTGGTTGGGTTATCCACTATGGGTGGGTTCCTACAACATATGGCTAACTCAAGACTACATTAGCCACATGATCAAGCACAGTGTGTGAACCTAATCTGATAAATCATGATGTGATAAATCATACTGTGGTTTGTTTAGCTTTGACAGTGTGCTATGTGAACCCAGCAATTTTTATTCACAAAAAGCCATGGGTTATGGATTAATGAGTTGCAAAAATTCACCCGATAGTGATTTGTTGAATAAATTATAAACAATCCGCAGCCTGGTTCAGCATAAGAACCTCAGCTCTGGCAGAAAGCTGAGAAAATTGGCCAATGGTACATACCAATCGTTCCACGTCCTTTCAGAATAATTTTATAATACAAATGCATAAATAAAGTAATACAACTTGGTTTCATTCTTCTCTGTTTCCTGAATGCATTATCTTCCCACAGGGGCAAAAACTATTTTAAAAAAACAGTAATTCTGGACATAAACAAAAATAAACAAACTAGATGATTTTGCTTCTTTAATTTAGTGAGATTTCAAGTCACTCTTGGAATGCTAGGATACATTTCTTGCTATTCCATGATGAAAACAGCATTTCTTGCTACCGTACTGTATTCTACAGTTTTTAAATTAACATGTACCTCCAAAAGCACTACCTATTGTTCAGGGAACTGTATGATTAATTCTGCCTGCTCATCAAGATTTCTCAGAATAAGAGTCCAAAGAAGTTGCAATGCATAGTAATTCATGTTCAAAACTTGTATTGATCTGCTATTCCAAAATTCAAAAGTGTTGCTGGATCTTTGCAAACCTTATTATGTGTATCAGCAAAAATAAATTGCTGATTTATGCTGTGGTGACACAGTAGCTAGAATGCAGTATGGCAGGTTGACTCTGAGCTTACCATTAAGTAAGGCAAAAGTTAGCAATACAGAAAAAAAAAGAAAGAAACCATCACAGTATGACATGCTCCTGTTACACATACAGGGATGCAATGGGCCCCCTCCTTTCAGGATGGATGCATTCTATTGTGCTTCTGCAATAAATGCCAAATAATTCTACCAATATTAGAGTAAACCAAGATTCATTATGGTATGAAAAAGAAATAATAGATTGATAGGGATCATAACAATGCATTTAATGCCCAGCCACACATGTAGTATCTCTATTTGTTGATGGAGAATTTCTTGCCTACATGTAGAAAAATTCTGAAGAGTTTTAAATGCATTGGTTCCAATGCTAGTCAAGTATTGTGAAATCTATCAGCTCTTCTATTCACTATAGAAAGAAGTGTCTAGCACAGACCGCTTGTGCTTATATAAACGTATCTTTTTCAGATATCACATGTGTACAGTACAGCAAAGTTCATTTCACTCAGCCTTCTGTCTCATTATCCAGGTGCTTTTAGAAAGCCTGCAGAAAAGATACTGATACTACAATATTTGCCATTCAGTAGTAGAGACAATTCCTATGGACATTTAACACAGATATTCAAGCTAACAGTTCTTCAATTAGATCAGTGATTTAAGAACTGCAAGAATATATATTTTTAAAACAACCAGATCATCACGACTCTCAATGGCAAATCGTGTAAATTCAGCATGACCAAGAGTCGTTTTGCTCACATGGCAAGAAACCAGGAGACTGTGAATTCTAGTCATGCCTTAGGCATGAAAGCTGGCTGGGTGATTTTGGACAAACCTCACATTCTCAGCCCAGCTCACCTCACAGGGTTGTTGTTGTGGGGAAAATAGGACAAAAAAATAGTATTAGGCATTTTCGCTGCCTTATTTATAAAAGCAATAGAAATAAATACTAAGTAAATAAAGACTTCTGTGAAATAGGGGCTTTTTGTTTTGCTCAGCTTTGCATCTGCTAGCTTTATTTGGCTTTCCCTGTTTTCTAGCATCAAGGGGAGGAAGAAAAT